CCGGTGAGCGCATGCACATCCACGTAGGAGCGCACGCCCAGGCCTGGTTCTGTGGACCATACCATGCGCATATACTCAAACAAGATTCTTGACACAGCCGGAAGGGTAATCCTTCCAAACCTTCGCATACACCCAATCAGAATGTGATGCCCTTCCCGCTCTTATGATCGACGATTGTCTCAACTTCCATCTCCCTGAGTGGGGGAAATGTTTCGACCCCGGCGGTTAATATACGTTTCTACGCTATATATATATGTACGTGAGGACCGACATGACGGGGGGAGGGGTTACTTTGTCTAAATATAAAATAATATCTTCTCACCTCCTCTGCTGCCAGTTCCAGCAATGTCTCCTCTCTACTTCCTCCAAAATCACCTCAGAGCTAGAACTTCCTGTCTGTATGTGACATCACTTCCTGTTCATTTTCCATAGAGGCTTCCTGTCTGGTAGGTAAGAGCACCACCTTGTGGAGCTCAGAGGAACCTCTGGTAGTGTGAACATGGCCTTGTGTAGAGACTTGTAGGGATGTGTTCCCTAAAGTGGCTTCCAACCGGATCTGTATTTTTGGGTTTTGATGTAGTGATCTATTTTCACCTGTAGGGTCGCTGTTCATTGCTCCATCGGCCAGGCCCTGTGGTGGTTTTAGTGTCAGGGATACTTCATGGCCAGCCTTGACTTTGGTTAGTTGGCCAATTACTGCTGAGCTTGTTGTCGGTGGGCGGGGTTTAGCTGTAACAAAACTCCTGAGCACGCTCCCTGCTGGGCTCTTCTTAGTCTGGAGTTCTCCTCCTAGGTGCCATCGTCTGACCAGGCCTGAGGGCCACCTACCACGAGCTGCTGGATCTCTACCGAAGATGAAGACCGACCCGCGTCCACGTTGACCTGATTACCTCCACGGATCCACCGGTCCCAGCTGCATCATCGCTATGGAGTAGACACCGGAACCTCCACCGGTCCAAGGTGCAGTCAGCCCTATGGAGTAAGCACCGGAACCTCCACCGGTCCAAGGTGCAGTCAGCCCTATGGAGTAAGCACCGGAACCTCCACCGGTCCAAGGTGCAGTCAGCCCTATGGAGTAAGCACCGGAACCTCCACCGGTCCAAGGTGCAGTCA